ATAAATCAACTTTACATTTTTATTTTTAATTTTTTAATTTTTTCTCTAAGTACGGCCACTAGTGTTTGAGTTGTATTAAAACTTAATTGCCATGATTGGTCCTAATGCACCTTCATTAAGATATAGATATGGATTTATTATAATCGTGGTAAATCTACAATATAGTAATATATGCTCTAGGTAACCCGATTCCTGATGCAAATATTGGGCTTCCCTTAAGGAGTCAGCTAGGCTTTTCAATGTCCAACTCAAACGAGTTCCTTGAGCCAGGGATATCTCAGACAACTAAAGGGCGAATGGCTCTATATTCCCTGCCAGATATTGCTGTCTCATTTGCAACAGTTAAACTGGTAATCAAACGAAAACATCTGAGCATAGCCAAGAAAAATCAGGCAGACGAACCTTACTGTCAGATCCGCAGATTAAACTAGTTTAAATTTAGCAAAAAACGCACCAGTCAATTGCTTCAACTAAGGCGAAACTTTTTCAACAAAATGGTATAGGTGCTGACGTGTCAATACGTAAGAGGAAAACATGCTATGAAACTGGGTCTACCCTGTAGTGCCTTTTGTCAAGGATGTGGGTCTGCGGCTGAGGAAAAAAGCTCTGCTACATCTCATGTGACAGTGTCAGGCTGCCGATGCACATTATGGCAAGCTGTGTCAACACTTAAACAGCACTATTCCGGGTACTTTCCGATGTTACACACAGACACTTAAGCCGCTTCAAACCAAAGGACATTTTAAAGCGTTAAGTCTAAAAACAGCAGCTTTTCGTTATGAATTTTGCAGCTTAATATAATATCTAAAATCGAGCTATGAAGTTAAAACCCTAAAATAGAACTGACCTGACTGACTTTACGTTTTGGGCACTCAGAACTTTACAAAAAACTCTAGATTATGATCCTCAACGCAGAGTTATAAAGTAATGATCTGATTATCTGTAGAAGAACAAGTAATTATTTTTAATAGATTATAATAATAGATTTAATAGATAGAATGAGTATAACTAAGATCCCCTTTTGCTACTCTAGCAAAATCAAATTAATGGATGTGATCGAATAAGCACCTTAATCAACTAACAAGGCTCTGTTCAAATTTTTTTTTGTTCCTGAAACTAAAGTTACCACGTTAAGGAAGATGTTTCTGATCAAAGTCATGAAAGACGGATTTGGATAAAATTGGGTGTTGGCGTAGTTGTGTCGTATATAACGGGTTTATCTTAAAGGCGACAAAATAAATTTTAATTGATATGATTTTTTTTGTGTATTAGTTAATAATGCCGAATACTTGGATACTGCATGTGTGGTATTTAGTTCTTGAAATATACAATATATATTGTAGATATTTACCTTAAAAGTAACCGCGTTATTAATTTGATTCGTTCTGCAACACTAGTTCCTCCCTCATACGAAAATATGATATGATATGATATGATATGATTTTTTTTGTGTATTAGTTAATAATGCCGAATACTTGGATACTGCATGTGTGGTATTTAGTTCTTGAAATATACAATATATATTGTAGATATTTACCTTAAAAGTAACCGCGTTATTAATTTGATTCGTTCTGCAACACTAGTTCCTCCCTCATACGAAAAATCGTTCATAACTATAACAAACGTAACAGAAATCACAACAAACCCAGCCATTGTGTCGATTACAAAGCCAATTAAGCACACTTACAGGTAAATTTGAACTCTCCGACGGTGTAAAAAGCCTACAAATAAAAATGAACTCGTACCGCTCATACAAAAAAAAAAAACCAACAAAAAAACTAATGCAAGTTGGGGAGAAAAACAAAAGAAAAAACAAAAAAAATAAAATAAATAATTTCAGCATTGTATGTGAAAAAAAATATTGGTAAACACCATTAAGCGAATTGGCCAAATGTGAAGACATCCAAGACATGTCGAGTATGCCTACGTTGAATGGATATGAAAATTTGGGGCACATTGCATGGTGCAGTACGAGTACTTGAACACCAACCATTTGGATGGATTGTACGTTGTTAGTTGCTGGCTTTTCGCAGTCGGTTGTTGGTAGTGATGCGTTCACTGTAAACGGTTTTGAAACGTTGTACTCGTACCTCTGCACCCTCATGGGTCTGTGTATGCAAGTTTATGACTGTGACTGACTATGTCAGTCATGACGCGCATGGCAAGTCGCCACTTCGGCTTTTGACTGATTTGGGCTTTACTTAATGGTAAAGGGCTCGGCGTAAGCTTTTGACGGCAGTTTTGGTAATATTTTTGGTACAAAAAAATATATTCGCCAATTAATTTTTTATGTTTTGTTAAAACCAAATTAAGCGCTTGTTATGCGGCGGTGACGGACGGACTCATAGAACCGCGCACAACTTTTGGATTAACAGTTTGGGTAACGTAATTTCGATTTCGTTTTTGGCTTTACAGCTGCGGTTGTTGTTAATAACTTTTGTTTATTTTTTTTTTTTTGTTTTTTGGTTGTTGTTTTGCTTTGTTATTGTAAACACAAAACAATCGAAAACCGAAACCGAACCATCTCGCATGTTAAAATTGCCATAATTTAGCTTTTTTCTGTTGTTTAGACTCAGTTTTAATGTAGAAGACTTGACTTTTAACTTTTTCTGCGTGAACAACACAAAAATTGTGTTGATTTTAACAGTTTTTTTAGTCGAGTGACAGCCGGGAAGCCGCAAAGTTCATCGCTTTTCGTTATAGTAAATAACTTAAAAACAAATATAAAAAAAAAAAAAATAGAAAATTGTTAAAACGTGTTTTTACAGTAAATTTTTATGATGAAAAAAAATTATTGGAATATTTCTTCGATTAGTGAATAACAGTAAAATTATTGTGTTTTAATAAATCGATTTTACGAATACCACGGTTTGCTATCTGCCTCCAGCAAAAATCCATACACCGCAGACGCTTACACCGCAGACCAACGTCCCATAAACGATTTATGACAATTTTGGATTTTATAAAATCTAACAAAAAAAAAAAATTTTTAACAAATTTACATATTTAAATAATTTCTTTTTTTTTTTTTTTCAAATTTTACATATTGTTTGTAAAAGTACACGAAAGTAAAAAATCCATTAGTCAAAATCAGACTACGAAAAGCTTAGATTTTCTTATAATTCCGGTACCGTGTGCGTGTGCTTATGTGTGGAGCAGATATCAGCGCCCGTGGTAGATATCGCATTACAGTGCTTCGGTCTGTTAAGGGCTCAAATTTACTATTTTATTGCCTGGTATTTGCTTCGAATTTGTTGTGTTGTTGAGGTTGTTGGATTGTTAATTTTATTGCATATCGCGTCATTGCTGTGATAACAATTTTAGTGGTGTTATTTGCGTAATGTGCTGTGGGCTGTTCTACGGCTGATTACCTACACTTGTGGAAAGTAAGTTTAGTTTGTCAGGTTTCACTTTTCTTTTGGTTGCTTTTGAGCTTTGGTTCATTGGATTTTATATTATTATTGTTATTTTTAATAATCACATGCTAACTATATAACAATCAAAGACATATATCAATCATGACTTAGAAATGATATAATAAATTAATAATTATGTTATTCAATTATAACTAGCGATTTTAACATATGTAAACATTTATAAAACATGCGTCGCTCCAGTGTGTGCAATATATGTTTAAGTTTAAACTGTTTTCCATTGCAATAATTTAATTTTCGTACAAAATTATCAACCATTGTATAAGCCCATATAATCATAAAGTTAGGTTGCGTTGCATTAACAGTCTTGTGCACCAAAGTTTACTTAAGCACAAATAATTTCCCATTGTGGTACCACGGACGAAGCACCGTCTATACGCCCGACTTAAAGAATCACTTTTATGGCAGAAGTTCCTGATGTCTTAAGTATGAACAGTGTCACTTTGAGAAATACGAGTTACGTCTTCATAACCTGATCTACAGCTCGGACAATAATTGTTAGGGGTTGACCAAGACTTATTGCATGCTTTTCTCAACACAACCAACCTCGATAAAGTAATGTTGTGTTGGGTCCGCTTTAGTTGAACCAGTTGAGTTATACGAATTATGTCTAGTTTGTAGCAGATGGATCTTGTAATCTCGCAAATCCTAGGTAGGTATTTTTGTTCAATTATTAGTTAAGTCATATAGAATATCAATATCCGGAAAGTGAATATCAGAGAGTATCTATTTTGTATGCTTTACATGCTCCTTTTTTTGAATCTGTACAGAGTTACTTTTATACCGCCAATATCAGACAACTCATTCAGAAAAGCCCAGAAAATTTCAAACATTAAGCGAAGATAAAATTACTATTATAATAGAAAAATATTTTAAAGAACGTTAACTGAATTATTTTTCTAGACACATCACAGACCTTTAATAGTTTTGGCATAGATGAAAATGAAATGAAATGAAAGTTGAAAAAAGGTCATCAAAACTTGAAAAATTATATGCGATTAAAGTTTAAAAATCTACCACGACTAGTAGGTAGAAACTCATTCTACGTATGTTGTTATATGGACATTTGGTATGGAATTTTGTAGCTGTACCAAGAAAATGATTATAGACACCTTACAGACCTTAAAATTATATAGGAAGTAGTGATATTGACTATGACTAAACAGTATTAACCATTAAATAGGAAATAAGTAAGTTCGTTGAAGTTTTTGAAAGACTATACCAGTATGTATCCAAGAACTATCTAAATTGATTGAAGTTGGGCCCTAAGAAGACGAGTTCATGCTTAAGAAAATTATAATTTATATATTGAGAATTTGAAAATATATAAATAAAATTACAGGTACAGGAAAAGGAGAGTACAGGAGTTACAGAAGTACTGGAAATAATTTCCGATTTCAGATATTTTCTTCCGGGAAAATAAAAACTGTTTTTCTAGTGTTCTGAAAATCTTACCGAACGAATCTTCACATTAAAAAAAAAAATAAAACCATTAATCGAATCTTAGTAACCTTTTATGCAGTAACTGTCAAATTGATATCAAATAAATTAAATAGATATTTAGTTAAAAATAAATTTTTACATATTCATTATAATAGATTAATGTATTTCGGGTTTTTAAAATTAAAATGAAGCGTCTTAAAATAGATCGGCGTCTTAAAGCTGTGGTATTTGTCGCTTTGATGGTTTTGAGTCAATTCACCATATCTAGTGGACAAATACAACCGGGATGTATGGAACCGCAATCCCCTGGAATATGCCGTGAAAGGATATTACGTTATGCCTACGAAACTTTATCTGGCAATTGTATTCCATTTTATTACACTGGATGTACCGCTACTGGTAACAATTATTTGACATATGAAGAGTGTAGAAGAGAATGTATGGAAAACAACATATATTAAACATCTACTTGTTGTACAGGCTACTAGTTGTAATTATTTAACATCCAAATAGGTTCTAAGAGAACACCCCCACAAGAAGCATATTTTAAAGATCTTTCATTTTTCGTTGGTAACAATTAATTTTCTGTGACAGCTCTTAACAAGAGTTGCCACCTAAACACAAGATTTTTGTAATTTTCCTTAATAAAA